TTTAAGTAATATGCATTAATAAACAGTACTTTACGCATAAAAAGTGGTTTTTAAGCGTTTTTGTCAAATGATTTATAATATAGAATATATATTTTTTATATATAATTTAATTTAAGTTTAATAATAAAACAATATATTTTTGGTTTAATATTATAAATTTTATAAAGATGATAATTAAGTATACTGTTAGAATTTAATGATTATACTAATTATATTTTAGATTTTTTATATTTAAAATGAGATGTTTATCCTGTATTTGATTGTGTTTATCTGCAGTTAGTTACACGATTTCATATATGGGATGAAATCGGATAGAGATGAAATCGTTTACGGATGATCGGGTTTAAGAGTTTTTAAGAGTCTTAAGAGTTTTTAAGAGTTTTAGCCAAATGCTTTATAAGATAGTATAGATATAGATACAACTACAAAAGTCAACATCATTTACCCTTCTCAAGTGTCCACTCGGAAGATTTCTAGGAGGATGTATGACTACTTATTTAATATTTACAAGTAAAATCTTGAGCGGGAAAAGTTTCATGAAACTGATTACATTTGAGGTTAAGTTGACCAAATATTTGAGATGACTTTTATTACGAACATTATAAGTTTTACACACAATAGTATGCAGTCACATATGCATGCATGTGTGCATAGATGTAAGAAGTGCACAAACAACACAATAAAAATTGCATTAAAGTACAGCCGGAATGCATTCAATAAAATCATATTAGGTAGCTGCCAAGACCAATGATAACCAATTTCTCACCCTTCAAGACCTGACATCATAATCAGCTTAATTTCATTAACCAGTATATTCAGTTAACCGAACTACACAACCGTTAGCTCTAGTATGAAATAGATCGATCAATTCAGTTAAAAAATAACACTTAGGATTATGTTTCTTATGGTATGAGATTATTGTAGATTGACTAGATACCCTAAGAAATATTCAACCAAATCACATGGAATAGACCTACGCCTGCCATTAAACTTCATATCCCTGGAAACAATAGGCTTCAAAAAAATGGCAATAAGTCGGTTAGAGTAAACAATGGTTACCTTTTGCAGAAATTGCACCCCCAGTCACACACCCTGCTGCAACTGTGTTTGTCATGTCATGTTTTGCTCGGGCCTTTAAAGAAAGCACCAAGTATTAGTACCAATAAGTATCAAACTTCCAATGGAACGAAGAAGCAAAGTAGGAACTTAACCCATATAACTTAAGCAAATAAACAGAAACAATAAACTTCAGTGTTTGGTTATTTGGTATTCTCAAAGCCCTTATCTTTCTTTTTACATTATATTGAATTATTTTGATGTCAATTTTAAGCTGAAAAGACATTTTTGAATGAAGCAATATGCTAAGCATTGATAAATCAACCAAAACCATCTGCTACTTTGCACCTAATTCAGTTAAACGAGTTGGTAAGCACTGATTTCAAAAGAGACATCTTCAATTAACAATTGCAACCTTGTAACATTTTTAGAAAAATTACCTTATCTGGTATATAATGATTAGTATACAGTGGGTCTGTGAATGATTGAACATTAATAGCACATTCGAGGCAAGCTTTTCTACTACAGCATTAAACAATTTTGTCGAAACCACTCAAACTGTTCAAAGAAAAATGACACCTTGCCTATTGCAACAAAAAAAATAACAAAAACATGTCAAGACCACTTATGATGAACATCGTTCATTAACATTCATATCTACATCTTTGTAAACTAATTAGCCATAGATTAGTCACACACATTAAGTACTTAATTTATGAATAGCTATATAATTTTATTAAAAATGTAGGGAGACAGAATGATGAGCAATTGGGGATCTATTCTCCTTTTCTCATCATTCCCAAGATTGCACATTACCCTTGAATATCACATGCTTTGCAAAATACAGCTAGAAATATAAAGACAAACAAGCGTCTATCAAGAACCCTTCAAAAGATGAAGCAGAAGGCAAATTTCCCTAAGGAGCTCCCTCTACATAGTGGCATACTAAGATGTTTACTAATTCAATCCGTATTCAGTGAACGGAATTAGAACCTTTTGCTGATGGATCCTTTATGTGTGTCAACTCTTTCTAAGAGGCATACAAACAACAAAGGCAAGCTTTTCATCACAAACTAGATGGGGTAGGCTTAAAAATAAAAACCAACAAAAATTATAAAGAGATGAACCCTTCCTAGGGCTTAGTAATACTTGTAGCATAAATGAGAGGTTCATTTTGTTTTCGGCCTTAAGCACTTCCAGAAGAAACCATCCAAAACCCAAGTATCTAAATAACATGCTTAAAGCACTTTGAAATGGGAAGCTTTCACATGGCATCTAAGATAAAAGACTTGCATTACATATAAGACACCATTTTATTCATTAGTTATACTAGACATTTGTTCACAAAAGTAACTGAGATTGTGTACACACAAAGAGCAATAGTTATCCATTTACTAATAGAACAAAAAAAGGGTGTGCCCAGAAGAAGGAAATCCAAAATCAACAACACTATATCATATAGAGAAGACTTCATACTTGTATAATTATCATTCTGTTGTGTATTAAAAAGTAGATGAGGTTTTTCTTTGCAGCCCATGTTCACTATCTGGGATGTCTTAACAAATATTGGAAAACATTGAATAGTGCAGATCCTTTGATGTTAAAAAGACCAACTTGCAAATTTTGAAAGGAAGGATGGGAAAAAAAGAAGAAAGAGCATCACTAAGGCTGCATTTGGTACATGGACTGGACAGGACAAGACAAACTCATTGTTCTACGGTTGGTGCGACATGGAGATGGGACCGGGACAGGGGCTAGTGGGACTCGATGAGACAAAAAAGGCTTGTTTTTGTTCCACAAAAATAGGTGGAACAAGATGGGACAAGATGGATCAAAACTAAAAAAGTATCAACCTACCCTTATTTGATATGTAACTCTAATATGGTATTTGTAATGGTAACCACCAACATCATCGGCCACCCTGACCACCACCATCATCGGTCACCCCTGACCACCACCATAGCCCACTACTACCTCCACAACCACCACTATCAGCCGCCACCACAACCACCATCGCCCATCGCCTATTGCCGTCATCACCACCTCTACCTTATCCACAACCACCACCTCCACCTCCATATCCACTACTGTCGTCCGCCACCACCACCTCCACCTCCATATCTGCTATTGTCGGCCGCCACCACCACCATCCACCATCTCCATGTCCTCTACAATCACTGCCGGCCACCACCTCCACAATCACCACCACTGGTGACCACCATATAAAATCATTAAACATATGGGGCAACTTATCCAGCCTGGTCCTTCCCAATCCTAGTCGTGCCAAACACTAGACAGGCACTTGTAATGTCCAGTCCTGTTCTCTTCTATCCAGTCCTGTTCAGTCCAGTCATGTTTGTGTACCAAACGCTACCTAAAAGCCAGTTATGGTTCTAAGATCAAAAGTCTAACAAATTGCATATTTACATTGACTCCTTGTGACTACATACCAATAAATCCTGGTAGAAATTCAATAAATTCACAAATCAAAGCTGTTGAAATCTTGCAATGTCTTTAGGATACCAAATACCTTTTGGTTATCTAACATTAAATAATAATGAATTAATAACTCCTATATCCTTAAATCCTGTTGAATTTTTTTATTGCAACATAAAAGCAGCCTTTTTATGAATAATTTGTCTGTGAAATAGAGAACACTTCGGAAGCTAAGAATAAAACTAACTGACAAGAGACACAAGGGGGCAGTAAAAAATTTCACTCAGCACAGTCTTTGTTAAGCAATAAACCATTTGTCATTTGCCCTTAAAACCTTTCATACTAGTGAGGTTACTAGACGAGTGTTATCAACAGGTCTAACACCATACCCATCCTAAGAAGAAGAAAAAAATGATGATAAGTTGAACCACTGAGAACAAACAGAGGCCTCGTAATTGCCATAGATAGTACACAACTGCAGGTAATGAATACCTCTTAACAGATATAATAAGAAGGTTTTAACCTTTCTAATGACACATTCACCTTCAAAGCTGAACAACATAATCAAAATTTAAATCAATGCCTATAAAGTAAAAGTAGAAGGAAGGCAGCATATATTGCTTTGCATCTTGCCTTTTCAACTACACATTCAGCAGCGGAGAAAATAAATCCCATAACAGCAAAGGCCTTGCAGGAACCCCAGCTCCTCCTACCCATCTGCTTTGCAGTATAAATAAATTGCTGCCTACCAGTCATCTCGTCCTGCATTATTGGATTGTCCAACGCACCAAGAAACAACCCCATAGCCAACCCAAGCCCACCTCCTGCACCATTTACAGAAGCCAATTTGATACATATGCTCTTTTTTACACAAAACAATTTAATAGTTTGGTTGAAGAAGAAGGCTTCTTTAGGAAGCTTAGATCTACCATATGGGTCTTAACCTAAATGCATTCAGGTACAAATTTGAAATAACTTAATGGTGTATTAGAGATCTCAAGTTCAATGAATTGGAATTAAAACTTTAACTAGAATCACTACAAGATTTACCCTAAATTAGCTTCAAACTCAATTCTAAACCTTAAAATCAATGCTCTCAGATGGCAAAGAACTTTAGTCAGAACCCAAAATCATGGATTCCATCCAACTAAACACTAGCTTGCAGAAAATGTAAGACCACCGTCATATGGATGGGAGCAAGCTATTCTTTCCATCCCAAAAAATTCTACATTTTGAATGTTTATTAATGCGGGTTTTTTTATTAACTTAGGGGACGTTTAGTTCACGGAGTTCGAAGGAATTTGACGGAATTGGCATGACAAATTCCTTTGACCAAATTCCAATTCCTTTGTTTGGTTCACTTCTAGAAATGGATGGAATCCTTCAAATTCCGTTGAATTCCACAAATCAATGCATTCATCATTCCTTGGCCTAAGGGAAGGAATTGAATTCCATCACCGGCCATCCTTCAAATTCAACTATTGTTCTTCACGCCCCACCCCTAACCCCACCACCACCGTACCACTACTGTCGCCGCACTCACCCTACCCCAAGCCATCACTAACCACCAAGCCACAATTGTTGTCATCACACTCACCCACCGACATCCCTACTATGACCATGCTACTACTGTTACTGTCGCGCCCCTAACGTAACCCCCCACCACCACACCACACTTGTCACCGTCACAACCACCACCCACCCTCACCCCACCCTACCCCAACCCACCACCATGCCACTACTATCGCCGTCATACCCACCTACTCCTAGCCACCCGACCACCATCCCACCACTATCGTCGTTACAGCAACCACCACACCACCCACCCCTAACCTAACCCCCCACCACCACACCACTATTATCGCCATCACAATCGCCACTCGCCCCTCCCAACCCTACCCTACCCCAACCCACCCCAACCCACCAC